AGTTTTCAGAACAAGGGCAATAACTCATACTCAATATTTTTCGATTTTTCTGATTTTCAATAAGGTTCATTCTTTAGTAATTACAAACACAAACAGAAGAATAAGGGCAATAACTCATACTCAATTATTTTTTTAATTCAATAGGGTTCATCCATGGGTGATAGCAAACACTTGCACCTAGTTTCATAAAAATGCGTCAAGAATTGTGCCTTCTACAGTGTTTACGAGCATTTCAAGAACAAGGGCAATAACTCAAACTAAGTATTTTTCTGATTTTCGATAGGGTTCATCCTTACGAACACTCATACCAAGTTTCGTCAAAATCTGTCAAGAATTGTGCCTTCTAGATTGTTTACGAGCAATTATGGACGGACCGACGGACGGGCTTAGGTGACGACAATATACGCCTCCATTTCAAAAGGCATAAAACGTTCCGTTAAATTCAACATTATTACGTATAAATTAGTAATAGTAAGGAAAATATAAAGAAGTAATTGTAAAGTCGGGAACCTTGCAACTGGTAGACTCTGCAAGGAATCTGTTGTTCAGCGCACCACAGACAGTTGTTGCTATAATTTGAAACAAAATTGGTCGGCCTGAGCGGTCGGAATTGATCATAGTTGCTTACAGTAGCCGACTATTTTCATTTGGGAGAAACGCCCCTTTCAATTACGACGTATTTGATGAGATAGTACATGGGAGTCAGTTCACTTCTAACAGTTTCGAAGTACATGAATATACCTAGAAAATAAAAAACCGCATGGTCTGGCGATTAGTAACAATAAATGGTATTGACAGAATATTTTATTGAACAAGTTTATAAAAATCCAAAAACCTTTCGCACGAAACAGATAATAATTCTAAAATACCTCAGAGCTAATAAAATATAATTCTGTACATGATTCAGAAAGATAGTTTGCGTACACAATTTTCTGTCCATAATCATAAGAATAAAAAGAACCAAGATCCATTTTGAATGAAAAATTGATTTTCTGCCTCTTGAAGAAACAATTAATCATTCACGTGTGTAATTTAAAGCCCCTGTAAATATGGGAATATATGGGTGACACCCTTAATTTGAAAGTTGGTGCGTCGTTCTCAACGCACTGGTCGTCAATTGAAGACCAATTGTAGAGCCTTATTCCAAAGAGTTTTATCTGTCCGCAATAATTTAAAGGATGAAGTGTTATCTTAATGATTTTGATTATCGAATTCCAGTACAATACAAAGCGAAATTTCAGTCTGATACATCAGCAAGAGAATAAACAGGTCTTGTAAAGCTGAACGGCTGTCGAGCTCCCATTGTAAATCGTGGACTACTATGAACATTATCACCATAAGATTTTACATCGTATGCTCCTGGTGCAGGAGTTACATCCTTACTCTGGTACACTCGACTTCTTCCTTGAAAAGAGAACGCTGGCGGCCTCCTGAAAGTAATGTTTACCCCATCCGAACTTGTTATGGGTCCAGGGGTTTTCGACCAGTCGTGTGCGTAACCAAATTTTTCTGTTCTCCCTAACATTAAGGCTCCTCGGGTTTTAACGTTACTTCCAATGGAATCTGAAGGCATATAATTTGGTCCTGGGCCCGGGGTATTATCCTGGGAAACAATCCTCGATCCAAAGCTGTATTTTGGAGATTTTTTACTGGATATAAAATTGTAGGTGATGGGACCCGGGGTCACAAATACGTTTTCTAAAAAGAGAAAAAAAAGGGTTTACATAACTCAATATAATGTTTATTTAACATTTGGCTCTAAAATTTGATGAAAAAAAAAAAGACCGAGACCCCTTTTCCAACATATAAGATAAAACTTTCACACTCAAAACCAAAACAAGCGTTAGCAAGTTACACTTGACTAGTGAAACTATTCTCGAGGATATCATCAGTTGGAACTTGCTTCTGTTCGGCGGAAACCGCTCATTCACTTGTCAACTCATCTTTCATTTCTGTTCAACTTGAGTCTGAGCATGTTTAGGCCTATAGCATTAAAAAGAGGAAGTATATTTGGTCACGAGAACTCAACTGCCAACAGTCATTAAAGGTCTTTTAAATATTTATAACTCTATAATTAGAAGTATCTTATAGGTACACCAAGTGTATTTCATTCAAACGTAAAAGAGTCCTTCGTGAACTAAATTGATACATGTACATATAATATATGTAGTTACAAAAATGGATAAGCTATGGCTGTTAAAGAGTTTTGTTTGAAAAATATACACATATCCCTTGAGCGATTATCTCCCATTTCGTTCTGAAGGCAACCCAAACCATGCAATAATAAAGTAAAGAGTATATCAGTAATGTACACAAGAAGATCAAATCAAATCTTGATCCATTTTACAAAAATTTGTAAAAGTCAGTGGCGAAAATGGCGTGCGACAAGCCTGCTTAAAGATTCTTAATGGAAGATACTCTGTATGGTAAACAATAGATTAACTTACTTTTAGGAGTCCATCTGCTACCAATAGAATATTTAGGCATTGCGTCTCGACCTTTATTTGTCACTCCAGAATCTACTTGGTATATAGGACCAGGGCTGTTATCAGAAAAACCTACAAATTTCAAAATGTAGTAAATTATAGAAAATTCAGAATTCAATAAATCATATGAGATTCAGAATTCAGTAAATCATAAAAAATTCAAAGTGCCGTAAAACATACGAAATTTAAAATTAATTTCAACAAATCAAATAATTTCTCTCTCGTTTTAATTGTTTCAGTAGCATCGCATTTAAATTGCTGTTTTTTAATACTCACTTTTATACCGAGAGCCAAAACTGTATGCCGGGGCAATGCGTTTAGTTGGATCATGACCGGTCTTACCTACACCTGTTGGTAGTATATAACCGCCAGGTCCTGGACCTAGAATAACAAATTCATACTTGTAAGTCCTTTAAAGTTTACAATTACCTAATTGATTCAGTTGCTCTTGGTACTTTCCAAAAACCGATATAGATTCAGTTTTACAGAAACTTCCGAGGATTGCCGAATGGTGTTTATGTATAGGAAAATATACCGCCGAGGATTTTTATATTTAAAATTCTATATTCCAAGATATTTACCGTTTTCCGTAAAAAGGGGAGCAACTCGTGCCTACAAACTTGGTCAATAAAAGCGGCGACCAGTGAGCCAAGCAATCTATTTGTCTAAAGAGTGAAATGTAGCTGTAAAAAACTTGATACTTTAAACCTAAAGATTTTAATAACAATACATCTGGCAGTTAAAATGAAAGAGATTGTGTGGAACGACATCACTAAAGGTTTAAAGGTGCAGCACTTTGATCTCATTTCGGATGAAATAGAGTTTGACTTCAAAATATGAACTTATCACTGGAAATTTCAACTGGAGCCATGTTTCTGATTAAAAATGTCATTACTTGAATTTAAAGCAAATAATATGTGTATTTCCAAAAAGTATTTTCTAGTAAATAAGACGCATATACATATTGACATTAGGCCCTCAAAATCAACCAAGACCCAGATGAAATAGCAGAAACTGTATATTAGTTATTGGACTGGACCCGTTTGTTTAAATTACCTACCACCATAATTGTTCTATTAATTTACAGTATATAATGACAGAAATAATTTATTCATCAGAACATCAAGATGACCTGTGTGCGATATGAAAATAACTAAATCATAGTCAACAAATAACTATATAATTGGATTCAAAGCAAATCAATCCTTTAAATAAATCAGGGAAAGGAGGTAAGATAACATACCTTTAAAGGGACAGTTGTGGCATTTTGGGGGTTGATTTTTGTTTTGAATAGTCTTCATAAAGAAATGTACGAACATCGCATATTCCTTTAAATAAACTAGGAATTTTACTCATTATTTCTATATTTTGTTTTTTCAATAGATCACAGAAAATCTTAAATTGACGAGTCGTCATTTTAACATTCAAACGCGCACAATTCTGGACACAAATGGATTTGAAGGCTTAAATTTCGACGGTAAGCTGTGGACAATATTACTGATTTGCTTAGCTAAAAAACATATATCCCCGTTAATGAGACTTAAATTTGGATTTAATAACTATTTAGCTCTGTAAGCAGTGATCGTGCAATCATGGACTCTCCAACCACTATATTGTTTCTGAATTGAACTCGAAATTTGCCATTTTTGGCAAATATTCCAATTAAAAGTACATAAAAGTGTTTTAAAAAATTTACTTTTATTGCACCTGAAATCATTCACAGTTTGGCATATTATTTTATTTTTGATTTAATTTCTTGTAGGCTATACTAATTCGAAATAGACATTTCAATGAATGTCGGAAATTAGCGTACTCAGAAACAACAGTGGACAGACAGTAGAAATATATTCATATAGGACATTTACCGTTTTAAAAAAATCACATTTAATTGACACTGACATGAAATGGCGACTACTCCTGAATCTACAGAATAAATCCTCTCAATCAATAAATTAAAACCATACATACTTGCATCAGCATCCGGGAATTCAGATTTAATTTTCATCCTGATCACAGTAATCCTGTTTGTACTGTCACTTACAAACTTTAACACTTGTATTATTTATATAGTAACTTGTATGGTGTAAGTAATCTCACGTTTGTTGTCCTTAGTAACGGATGTTGAAGAAGATGGTACCGATAATGTTAGAGACCTAGACAAGACCTTTAAATGACGATCCCCATAGATCTAACATCTGATACCACAGAGATAATTATATGTTATACCACCAAGGAATAAAAAAAAAACACTGTTCCGCCACGAACTAAAATATTCAAAGATGTCTCGAGGCGAATAACAAAAAAAACAATCTCAGAGCTCGTTAGAAAATCATTCAACTTTAATCTAAGGGTTGTAAAAAAAGAGAAAAGAACATCGCAATCAAGAGTAGAGGGGCAACTATTGTAAATGAATATAAGTAGAAATTGTTTCGTATTATATGCTATATTATTACATTATATATAGCTCTGCTCGTGAATTGACGAAAATGATTAAAAATGTACAATGATAACCCGGTCAACAACAATAGGTAACATAACCAATATCCGATTGCTCACAATAGTTATAAGAAACTTCTATTGCTGATTGTTAATCGAACATGGTCTTTCCGACAGACCTAATTAATGTTATTTTCAAATAAACCTTCCCATGATTGGAACGAAAATAACAACGTGTCAGTAATGAACCATCATACATCGAAAATTAAAATCTAAAACAACACACATACACTAGCGAATAGTTTCCAGTCTGCGTACTGAATAAAATAATGAAGCACTACAGAATTAATAACAATGGCATTGTTATAATCTTAAAGGACTATAGGCCAGAAATTTCAATATAAATTATAATTCCAACATTGTATTCTTAAAAAAAAAAAAATAAATAAATAAAATGACATGAAAACATTATCAATGAAAATATCGATGAAAAATATTTCCAAAACAATTCTTCAGGGGGAAATTGTGTGAATAAACATCAGTACAAGCAAGACAATCAAAAATCTCATCCAAAGCAAAATCTGGAGTAAAGGTAGTATAATAGTGGACTCCACCAAAGATGTACCATCATCCAGCTGTGTAATTTGAGGATATTAACATGTTGAGCACACTACTAAAGCTTACTCGTCTTCAAGTAATAAATTATACCAACACCAGAACTTTGTTCAGAATGTACATGGACGGCAGAATTTTCGAAAGTCAACAACAAAATACAACAAAGCTGAGTTTGAATGTACAGTATTGAAATAAAGTTATTTTTAAGATAATACGATGAAACTTTTTTCCAATAATGTAATACATAATGTAATGATTGTACATATTTTAATATAAAATGCAACAGAAATTTGTTTCAGTGTATTACAATGTATACGATAGAAGTTTTTTCCAATAATATAAAACATAATGTAATGATTGCACATTTTCAAAAATAAAATACAACAGAAGTTTGTTTCAGTGTATTACAATGTATACGATAGAAGTTTGTTTCAGTGTATTACAATGTATACGATAGAAGTTTGTTTCAGTGTATTACAATGTATACGATAGAAGTTTGTTTCAGTGTATTACAATGTATACAATAGAAGTTTGTTTCAGTGTATTACAATGTATACGATAGAAGTTTGTTTCAGTGTATTACAATGTATACGATAGAAGTTTGTTTCAGTGTATTACAATGTATACGATAGAAGTTTGTTTCAGTGTATTACAATGTATACGATATAACTTTTTTCCAATAATGTAATACATAAAGTATTGGTTGTACATTTTCAATTCATTAAACAAAACAATGTATACGATAGAAATTTGTTTCAATAATGTACTGTAATACATAATGTAATGATTGCACATTTTCAAAGATAAATTACAACAGAACTTTGTTCCAATGTATTACAATGGATCTTTTTAAAGATAAGACGATAACCCAGTATTGTAATAAATGTTCAGCAGAACTTTTTGAAATAAATAGATACAATCAAACAATTATCTGAATACCAGGTTCTTATTCTAAAATAAAACTTTAAAGCAATATTGAATCATATTTCACGGAAGGATTTCTGACTGTTCTACTTGTATATGTAACTCTGAATACAATGTATAGGCCTGGTCTGATATCATGTTAACGACTAAATCTCCATTGACAACATATTATTGATATTCGGGTGCTAAATATTCCATGTGTTCTGACTTCTGATACTTAGTATGTAGTAAACTAGTATTATTGACAAGTTTAACACAAGTTAGTCACGATAACGTTATCAACTATTTATTATTATTGTATGTAGAAAATCTGAAATTTAGTAAGGTCTACTCTTCTGTAACTATATGTAGGCTATATCCCACCAATTGCTCTTCTTTCTTTCGTATGTTCCTTTCAATGTGTAGAAAACAAGTATCATTAGTTTCGTACTGACATGTAAAGTTATTTGATAAAGAATACCTTGTGCTAACAGTCGAAAAGTTTAAGGGACATAACTTATGGCATTTCTGTGCATGCGACACTTTTATTAACTCGATCAGATGGATTTTGAGGCAGGATTAGCCTATCATATCCTACCCTACATGAGAATATGTTGATAATGGTCTAAATAATTTACAATTTTGATGATTTGAATGCATTCTTAAGGTGTCATCTTACTTTGGTGTCTGAGCAACACGTGAAGTTAAAAACCCTTCTTTTGCCTTACTTGGACTTGGTAGGCCAAAAAGCCTGATTTCCATTTTTTGTTTAGATAAGAAATGTAATAGTATCCTGTTAAATCTAGTTAATAACAACAAGTGGTTGCCTAGCAAAATACGCCCACTTTCCTACATTTTCAGTAAAGGGTGGTCACAAATCTGTGTCAAATCATGCTAAAAATATAATTTGTGCAAGATATACAAATGTAGTTGATTCAATCAAACACACAAAATTTAATAAAATTCTGACATAATCTGTCACCTCTATCGCGTTAACAGGCCAACAAATTTTGATTCGTTTTTACTAAGTCAAGGGCAATTACTAAAATTCCGTTGATCGAAAAATTGTCAAATTCAATCTTGACTAAGATCTCATCATTATAAATGATAACACCAAATTTAATCTAAATTGGATGAATCTTCACAAATAAAATTTGGCGCGTTCTTCTTAAGTGAATGGCAATAGTTACTCAAAAACATTCATCGTCAAATTCGAATGATCTCATCATTATAATTGATCACACCAAATTGCATGCATTCAATTCGAATGAAAATTGTTGTAGTCTCTTTTTTGTTCACAAACAAATTTTGACGCGTTTAAAATTTTCATAAGTCAAGGGCAATAACTAAAAAACCGTTCATCGAAAGATCGTCAAAGTCGAACGACGTCCAAGATCTCATTAATATAAATGATCACACCAAATTTCTTTTAAATCAGATATTGAGATAAAAACTGTTGTCTCTATTGCGTTCACAAGCCAACTATCGACCGACATTATACACATTATAACGTGGACGTATAAAAACTGGGGAAAGGTATCCCTTTAAGTTGTGGATAGAACAAGCTACCTAACCGGCTAGTGATGTCGTACTGCTGACTTGAACTCGAAACTGTCAAATGTGAAATGAATGAGTCATTAGACATAAGGCTTACTCCGAAATAATTTTGAGTCACAAAAAATAGTAATTCAACAAATGTAATAGTAATTATATGCTGTTTATTATTCTAACTAAACCATTGTTTTAAATTTATAGACTTGCATCAAAGTTAGCCTGTTTACGAGTTGATGTCTGGTGGACACGACATGAGAATTTAGTACATGAAATGAAAGTATGAAAATGAATACTCCCTCGCTGAAAGGTAATATATCACGTGACTAGTAGCCATCTTGTTTTCATCTTGGATAAACGACCTTAAACGACGATAAAATTTGGTTATCCTGAATTCTCGGCTCTTTATAACGTCATGTTTTGAAAAGGACTTTTTAGAGGCTTTCTTCATCTAAAAAATGGGTGAGTTTCAGAACAAAGACTATAATATTAAGCCAGATATGATGTTCGTAAGTTCGTGTGGTTGATCAAAGATGTATGTAAAAAAATGTCAACAACCGGAAAATAGGGATTGCGGAAATATCAAGTCATGATGACAAATAAGTGTTTTATTTAAGTTTTTCATAATTAAACCTATTTTATCGCATATGGTGCTCCTCTGTCAAATGCGTTTTCTAGCATTGATTGTTTCGGCAATCTGAATAATGCCTGAATGAAATTGAAAATATTGGACAAAAATTTGTCCTAACATGTGTAAAATTAGGGTGGGAATTTCAACCTCAGGCTATTTTAATAATATTATGACTTTTGTACATTTGGTTTTTTTTAGTATTAACTAAGCTCATTAACAGGCCTATTATGTTGAAAATACATGTTCAAAATAGCACATATATGATTCACGTGATAGGTAGGCCTAATTTTCTCCTGTTTTTCTTGTTTTGATATTGATTAAGCACCCTTTCATAATCTGCTCAATGGTTAAAAAAAAACCAAAAATTTAAGCTCTACGACCTGATTTTTATGTTATTATCAAAATGATAATGGAGAATAAAACATTTTTACTGTTTCTATATTTCATTTTTACCTTTGATGCATGTATGATCTGCATTAAAAAGGGCTTATTTTCTGATTTTTATCATTTTTGATATTATCTCTGATTTGTTCATTAGTCGAAACATAAACAGTGGCATTGTGCTCTTTAAATTTTTTCTAGAATATCATCTTAGAATATCACACATTTTAAATGTGTCAGCTTCTGAAATCATTACAATGTAGTGAAAGTATGTGATGTAAAACACAGTTAAAAATAAACTATGTGGTCACTAGTTTAAGTCTTATGTCAATACTAGCCTATTTGTGATGGTAATAGAACACAAACTCTGACAAATAGTAGGAGATGTAGCTTTCTAATCAATTTCTTATATGATCATGAGAGAAAATAGACACAGTTTGTCACATTCTTTTAACTAAAATGAGATTCTAACAATCAGAGCTCTTTATTTGTTTCACCTGTATGTTAAACTCTAACATATGGACTCATTGATCTGTACTGTTTACCTGTCATCTGTTTATACTAGTCAAGTTTGAAATACTAAAAGCCAATGTGTTTTGCATACAAAGACATTTGATGTTTGATATAAGATTATTTTATTGAAATTAGTAGTTTTAACTGATATGATATTTAGAGCTATTTCCTCATCTATTCCCTTATATTCCTGTTCATTGATGTGATGAGACATTTGATTCTATAGTATTAAATTCAATTCATGATCAAAATACAATTTGAAGTCAGTTTTAAAGCTGATGAAGCTGTGGGATTTGACGTCAAATGCCATTTAAAGACTTTGTGTGATACTTTTGTTGTGTGATTTTACACCAGTGCTAAATATTGTATTAGACAAGCTTTCTACTAACAACAAAGAGAATAACAAATGAAAATTGATAATGTACGAAAGGCGCATAATAACTTATTGGCTTAGCTAAAAATTTCCTGTTTCTGAGACTAAAATGACGCATCTGTACCTTCCGGAAGAATATCAATTTCTGATAACACCTTTCAAAATATTATACTTTTTACTTTTTTTTTGGACAAAATCCAATATTATGTGTTAATATTTGTAATATTTTTTATGAGAACCATCATGACTCTTAGTTTAAGGTATACTTTTCTTTACATTTACAGACATCACTGATCACATGATAGTGACAACAATTTAATGTAATCCGCGTGTCGTATTTTCCCGATCACCAGATCGGATCAAGAGATGATGTTTTACCTAATTTCATTAAATGATACTATAGTGTTTCTGTGTCATGATCTGCTAAAATTTTACTGTTACTATTAACATAAAAATTAGTTATTAGACGACTCTACTCCTTTAATCAATAAAACTCAAGTAGTCCTACTTGAAACATTTCAAATGTGATAAAGATTAAAATCATTTTCCTCATTAACTGGTTGTTTCCTGAGATGAGATAGAGTTTAAATAAATTGATGCTTAATTTAACATGTAATATTGTTGATATAAACAAGAAGTGCCTCTTTATATGTTGCAATATATAAGTTAGAAATATATTTGAAAGATAAGTTTTCTATTGTAGAAGCTGTTGTAGAATATGAATATGAGGCAGTACAAGATGATGAATTGTCATTAAAAGTAGGAGAAATCATAAAAAATGTATCACAATCGGAAGATGGTTGGCTTCGTGGGGAATTAGATGGTAAAAAGGGTGTTTTTCCAGAAAATTTTGTACAAGTGAGTTATTTTTTGCTATGGCATGAATTTACCCATTTTACTTGATGTCCGACATAAGCTTGTGAGTCTTGGACATGTATAAGCGTACTGTATTATGTGTTCGAAATAAATCATATACCGTAATTATTAATATTTGAACTGCTCTGCCAGACATGTCTGAACAATAGAGGCAAATCAGTAGCCCTGCTATGAGGAATCAGAAAGTGCCAAAACAACCAGGTTTAGTTTCTGTATCTGTGTATATAAACAACTATTAGTTGTTGAGGTAGGATAAAAACTTAGTTCCTTGAAACATTTCGTTATTGTTTATGTATTTTTTGTAGATTATCAAGAATACAGATAAAGACAAGATAATAAGGGATAAAACTGGATTACAGAAAAGAGAAGCTCCTCAGAGGAAATCAGTAAGAGAACTGGCTAGTAAATTTAAAGATGGTGTGCCTATGGGCCTTGGAGGACCACCACCTCGCAAAAAAGGTAAATGCAGAGCTTCCAGTCTTAAAGTTTATTTGCTGTAGGGTTTGGGATCTCATTTCTATGCCAGCTCTGCAGATGAATAATGTGCAGTAAGTATTCTGATGTATTGAATTTAATTGTCTTGAATTGGACGAAAATTATATCCATTAAGTTCCTTTAATATCTCTGTATTCTATGTACAGAAAAGAAGAAATGTAAAGTGTTATATGATTATAAAAAAGAAAATGATGATGAGTTAGAACTACAAGTTGGTGATATGGTAGAGTTTATAAGAGAGGTAGAAGATGGGTGGTATGAAGGTATATTAAGAGACAAAGCTGGTGTGTTCCCATCTAATTTTGTTGAAATGGTTACTGTAACTGAAGATCCAGTAGAGGAAGCACTAGTACCAGAATCTAGTACTAGTGGTCAGTACTTATTTATTACTTTAACTTTTCTTCTGCAATTTAACTAAAACTTACTAAGAATATTTGAAATGTTATGGAAATTTTTTTTTCCCAATTTTTTTAAATGTTGTTTTGATATGAAATTTGTACATATTATATGATAAAGAGACGAGTCAATTTCAATATTTTGGAGTATATGTGATGCATGTCTTATTGAAGCGCCAATGCATCTTTGCTGTTTCTTGTTGGAGCATATATATTTCTCAATATCTTGTGTGATTATAGGAGATGTATCAGAAGGTGAATCTACCAAATCATCTAAAAAGATCATTGGTGTAGGATTAGGCAATATTTTTCAAGGTGGTCCTATAAAATTACGAGCAGTAGGTAGTAAGAAACAACCAGCACCACCACCTGAGAAAGATAAACCTCCAGAAATTAAGGTCAGTTTTTGATCACCATGCTAATAATTGATTTGATGAAGTCAGCAGGTCACCCACATGTAGTTTTATGAAGTGCAGTTGAAACCGATTTTAGTCTGCCTCTCAAATATACTGATATCACTACAACCTTGATTAATAATGAACTTGAACTGTATTATTCTAAATAAGAAATAAACTAAAAAAAACGTACACTATGCTTAAAAAGTAGTTGGCTACTAACAAAATTTTCACAAAAAAATGTATATCTGTTATATCTGTAGACATATGAAATTAAAGTTCATATTTTGATCAAACAATATGATTAGGATGAAAAGTTGTATACTGATGTTGTATTTTGATTATAGGAAAGTACCAGACCACCACCTATAACATCTAATAATAATGATGTTGTTAAGAGAGAGAAAACATCAGCAGGTGACTAATTTTACTCCAGAAAATTATTTGAAAGGGCTTTTGCATTTTCAAAACAGGTCCTATTTAAACCAAAATTTTCTATGTTAGAAATAACACTTGAATTGTAAGATAATTATTGAAATAGGGCAATTATATAAGGTTGTTTTTATGTATGTCTTTCAAGCTATATAATACTATTGTGAAAGAAACTGGCACTGATCACATGATAACCATTTCTCAGAAATTAAAGTTTATGAAATAACAAGGTCGGATCATGTGTTTAATTACTTGCAAGCATAGTGGTAAACTTTCCCAAAGTTTTGACATAGTATGATATAAAATTCATTTGTGAACATCTTTAAAAAAAAGCTACTTTTAATCTGTTTGTCATTGAGTGCGTATATTTGTTGTAGGTGAGAAAGCATTAGTTAGATTTTCCTATTCTGCCGACCAGCCTGATGAATTATCTCTAAAAGAAGGTGAAGTAGTCAATGTTATAGATAGACATTTAGAAGATGATGGTTGGTGGAAAGGTGAATTAAATGGCAGAATTGGTGTTTTTCCTGATAATTTTGTAGAATTAATGCCTCCAGAAGATGTATGTATTTGCGTTATTCTTATTTCTTCTCGACTGTTGGACATTAACAAAATATCAGCTTATACTGATTTCTTGGGAACATTCCTCTCATTGCACAGTGAGTCATGGCATTGGACATCATCCTTGGCTCAATTCCTTGTTTTATAAGAATTTTTGCTGAGTGGTTAAGTTTGGAATGTGTTTCCTTTTGGAAAGTTCACATTCTATTTTTGAGAGACTAAATAATTTATTATCTTAATTAGTAATTAAACATTTATTATGTTTCAGCTGAAACCTAAAAAACCTCCTCCTCCCAATATATCTAGTACAGTGGCCAGCAAAAGTTTATACCCTAAATTACCAGAGAAATCAGACTTATCACATGATAAAAAGATACTGTCAGATTCTACTAAAAATACTTCTTATAAAAAAGATCATGGTGAGTTAAATTATTTCTATCATTTGGTGTTAAGCTTAGTGTTGGTTGATAGAGAGAGAAAGATAGATTCATCGATTACATAATGATTGACAAAAAGCTCAAATCTGTTGAATAGCCAAACTTCTTTACAGTGATCTTAAACCTTATCAGTTAAGTTGGTGAGTCATATACAGTGAACAATGTACATCAGCTGCCATTTCTTGGCCACGTATAAGTAGTATTATAATGATAAGATGCTGTTTTGTTTATTAGTAACAGATTGATTAACTCCTGATCAGTGTTAATACACTATTACTCCTCATATTAACAATGTTTTGTTTTATGCATATCTATTGACTTTTACTGATTGAAAATTTTAATTATTCTTTGACTTCAGATTTAATCTGATATTTGAATTTATTTCAGAAATAGAGAAAGGACTAGGAAGTGTAAGAAAGCCTAACATTCCACCTCCAATAAGTAAAAAACCTTTAAAGTCTTCCGAAACTCCTAGGTTATCAGAAACGAGTAAACCTGATCATAAAAGCATATTATCTTCTAGTAGAGATGGAATGAAAAATAAAGATCAACATTCTCACAATGAAGAAAAAAATAATCATAGAAATAATGACGGTAGGTGGAATAAATCATGACCTGTTGACATTTTAGTAATCACATTGTGCAGAACGAATGTTTCATCTAAAATTATTCTCCTGAAATGAAAACTATGCTGTAGAGATGTTGATTGAGATAAATTTCTCAGCTTACTCGCTTACCTGAAGGTCCTGGATTCAATCCTTACATGAGTCGAGATAATACCTTCATATATTTTAACTTAGTTTGTTTCCCCCTTGTCAGTAATGACAATCAAATGGGACAAAAGCTGAGGCCCTGTGAGTTATGCTGTACAAATCTTTCTGTTGTTGCCTAAAGCTAGGAACTATCTTGATGTATATTTTTCAGAACATGTACATTTTGAAGAACTAGAACCAAATTCACAAAAATTAGTTCATCTTACTGCAAATAGGGCAAAACCTCCTAAGAAAAGACCTCCTTCGAATGTGTTTACACCAATGGTAAGATTTTTCTGCTAGCCTAGATTTTGCTACTTTTAATATTTTAGTTCACAACTATTGTTCATGTTCCCATCATTGCATTTTTTGACAATCCTAAATTGGACTGGCTCAGCAACAGAACAATTTCACATTCACAAGGCTGTAACTAATTAAAAGCTAAAAATGAAATTCCATCAGTGCTTAGCTATTTAAGATCGTGTTTGAAATGGTGTTTAGGTGTAGGTATTTGCTATGAATTTGAGCTTGCTAGCTATATCGGCTTACTTTGCTTTTACTTATTTTTAGGATGTGGAAGAGAATCATACAGATAATATCAATAATAAACTACCAGAATTATCTAGAGATATCTCAGAACAAAATGTAAATATCTTACTTTTTCCAATTTTTCAACTATTTAAACTTATTTTTCCAGCATTATTCTAAAAATTATAAAAGAATTCTGAATATACTCTATATTTGTAATAATTAAGCTGTTAATGCTGATATTTAATCACATAGCTTCTTTGCCGCTTATATCATATTTTTACTTATTAACCTACCTACCTAATTATAGCAATAGATGACACTAAAGAAACAAAACAACCAGATGTTTTATACAGTAATTACCTGATTTTCAAGTTTAAGGGATATGTCAGAAAACTTAAAATGGGCTTTTGGAATATATTCATTCATATTGGTTGTAAAAACAAAGTTTCATAGGGTTTTGTTTGTGTATTGTTATGATTTATTGATTTATCAATATGTATTACAGAAATCTCAAAACAGTATAGACAAGAAGCCATTACATGAGCCTTTACATGATATTAGAGAACAGAGAGAGAGTCGCATTACTAAAGATCATAGGGAAGTTAAAGATCACAGAGAGGTCAAAGATCATCGGGAAATAAAAGATCATCGGGAAATAAAAGATCATCGTGATAATCGAGATATTAAGGAAAATCACGATATACATAGTCGAGATAATAGAGATGTACGAGACAACAGACACATACCACCACAAAGACCACCTGCACCAGAAATGACTTCCAGTAAGACTACCTTTAAAATATTTGGTTTTACTAAAACTTCATTTGGTCATAAACTTTACATTAAAATGGGTGGAAATGAACATGATGTGCGTAGATGAAATTCCCTCTTAACATAAGCATAAAAATACTTTCTCTCTTGTGGCATGATTACTATCTGACACTTCAATTCTAATTTTCTAGATTCTGGTGGAGCTCATCTACAGAAAATGGTAGAAGATTTACAGCGTGAAGTTAGAGAAATGCGTTTAAATACTGTGAGCAAATCAACGTTTAATGAACTGAAATTAGAATTAGATACAATGAAAACAGCACATACTAAGAAATTACGTGAATTAATGAATGAGGTGGATGATGAAAAGAAATTACGACTTAATACACAAGTTGAAATTGAGAGAATTAAAAAACTTTTAGCAGAAACAAACGTGTAAGATATCTTAAGTTTTTATTTATATTATTTTATAAAAGAGAGCTGGTGATTTTTAAACATTACTCATCAAATTTATTTATGATATATTAAGGATAATATAATGTACTTGTAGCTGTTTATTTATTGAATCATAGACTACTGTCTTCTTACTTTCGTCAGTGAATTGGACTTTACCAAGTATTTTTGTACTTTTTGGAATTTTAAGATGACCTTAAAGTGTTATTTTCAGCACATTTTTAATAATTTGACTGATGTGTCTTCTTTATGTTAAATGTTAACCTGCAAAACAAGATTTTAATAGAAGCAATGTCATTCTAAGACTATTTGTTCTATTTCAAAGCTAATATTTTCATGTTGAGTAAAACTCAATTTACTGACAAAAGTGGCCTGGCAGTTACTTATATTACATGCAGATGGGACACTTTCTTGTAAAATACTAATATGTGTGTTTTAGGGACATTCTTGTGAAGTAATCCAGAGCTGTATGGTATACTGTTTGCTACACAGGTCTGCAGTTACTTTTGCCAAATAGATTCCTTATAAAACTGCCACTCAAAAATTGAATGCTTTATTAATTCTGTGCTAAAAAAAAATATGATATGTCCCCTGCTTTTCTAATCTGGTATCTAACTTAATGCTGTATTTCAACCCTGATTTTCCTGCTAGATGATTTCCCTTATATTAGCTACTTACAAAATATGATGCTAGTAATTAATATATAGACGTAACTCTAGTGGAAAATGAACTGAAATCATGATTTCTTAAATAATCATTGAATCATCAATTGAATCAAAACTTTTTATGAAATAATTTCTATCAAAAATTCATTTATTTATGAACTTAAATCATGATCTTAAAATATCTCATTCTAAAATGTAATAGAGTCATAATAATAAGAATAATATTTAATTTTTTGTCAGTAATTATGATAATAACACTAACAAAACAATCATGATATCTTAAAAGTATTTGATAAACAATGGAAGAAATCCAGATTTTTCTTATTCAATAATGTAGTTTATTCAGTTACAAAATTATGATTTTGATGATCATCACATAGTCTATTTCTTCTAACCTTTTATAAGAGCCTAGCTGAAAAGTACTGTATAGAATTATATAGGTACTGGTAGTAACATGCATAATTATGTAGATATTTGATGTACTCGTATATTATTCATTATGATCAAAATACATTATTTATATACTTAAAGATCTGATATAATGAACAAATCATTATTATCATTATAACAGGTTTGTCTTGTATTCAGTTTCTCAAAATTGAGATTCGTTTTACCCATAAATCATGAAACTTTTCTTAAAAATTCTGCTTGTAATTTTAAGCCTTGAATTTGAATAGTTTAATTTTTCTTCAAAATTCCAATATTTTACAACATTCTAAGGAACATATGACATCTTCCCTTTTATATTACAGAGAAAGCTTTATAAAGCCATTCCATTTAGTAATGGCACAAAGAAAGATTGCATTCCAACTTTATTCTTTTATATGCTCTTCTTGTCAAAGTTATTTAAGATCAAAAAAACATAAAATGATCATCTATATTAATAGTCAAATTCCATCTTCATGTTGTAGCGCATTATATTCGCAAGTAGACAGAAGATTATTGAATGATCTACTTAAATGTGTAGAAAATTGCAACTTATATTGATCGTTAAGATTAAACCACTTTGAGTTAAAATTTTAGATAAATATCTACCATTATCTAATGTGATTTAAAGGAATCTAGAAGACAGGATCCTTGAGAATCTGAGGTTTTATCCTTGCATAAAACATGTACCATTATCCTTTTTCTGTAATATACAAGTGCTATGCAACTGATAAGCAGGAAAGAGTTGGTTGACAAAGGCTCAAATGATGTAGGGGGGAAACATGAAACAGATGAAGGCTGTATTAGTCTTTCAATTCTGTCACATCCTATGATGATGGTATTTGGAAATTTCATTCAACGTAAGTTGTTAATTGATACATCAGCACTGGGCTAAAGCTTGATAGATCTTTTGTTCTAGAATATAAGTATTCTATTTAGTGTATGTAGTAAATGCTTTCCATCATTGTATAAAGTGCTAAACTTGTCTTAACTACATTCCACGCATATGTATCATCATATATATGTATCATTAACTATATTCATCAATTCCAGACTCAAAATATTTTCAAGTCATTCCTCTCATCTTTCTTTCTTTTTTTTGATAAATTTTATTATTTAGTTTTTGTAGTTAAGACTTAACTGTGCTTTCACAAATCATTTTGATATTTCCAAGCATGTGTTATATAAAAAGCTTTAGAATATAATAATGTAAAGATATATGATGATTATGTATTGTATTGTATTTCATAATTGTAGATGCCTACTTCGTCTTTTTAAGATGATGACAACAGGTTGTGTTGGACAAATTATTCAAATTGTATTTTATATATTAATATGAGTTGGAAAACTCAAATATGAATTGGCCCCCATTTTTTACAAAAAATCTTATGATCAGAAGTTATAACATATGTAAAAGTTGATTGTTCGATTTGGGCAGCAATAAATTATGTTGGTAAGATTTGATTGTAAAATGGAGGTCTGATATTCTTGATATTTAAATAATTATGGTTACTTCATATATCTATCATTTTCTTGTGACTTCTCTGATTGAAGTCTGTACATAGCTTCCTGGCAACACATATGATCAGAGTAGTTAACTTGAAACTTAACTGGTTCAATCTTATTGAGTGCTTTAAAATGCTTAGGAAAGCTTACAAAACAGGCAATGTGTCAGATTCTGACTTTGAGCGTGGCCACTTCTTAACTTCTATGACTCCTATAATAGGAAAAAGCTGTAATTAAATAATTATAATACGAATGTATCTTTTATGTCTATTCTATTTGTTTTTGTTACTTTTTTCTTTGTGCCATATCAATGATACAGATTCTAAATGCTGACTTTCACCATTCCTTCAGAATTTATGTATTCCATAGTTTTGAAAAAGGTGTGTGCTAAATTAAATAATATTGAGTCCCTTATAGCATTCATAAGAAAGAAACAAAGAAATCCTTAGTTCTGATATTAGGATGAATACAGTTATATCTATCTATTTATTTTGGAATTATATAATATACTATATCAATATATGAAATTTATTTAACTATATAATATATTTATGTTTAAACCCAGTACTGTTATATTTATAATTAGTACTTACATCCTGTCATATAACAATATAAGTGAAAAGAATAACCAAAATAGAACTTATTATGTATTACACATATCTTTTGGAAAAATGCTTGGTTTATAGATTGGTTGCAAGCTGGAAATAACCTTTGATCAAATTTGTTATCTCAGAAGTGAAAAAACAATTTAAATAACAAAACATTTGTTGAACAATTAATTTGCAATCGATGATCAATTACAAATTACTGACACAGGGTTAAAGTTACATGAATTAGTTATTATTAAGAGAATCTCATTTTTTTTTTAAAAGGACTGTTTTTCAGTCAGTAAGAGCATTTTAATAATGGTGTCATTAGTTTGGTTACATTTAACAAATTGATGCTCATGTGGTTTATCTTGATCATAACTTTTTAGAGTCTTAAGAGATCTTAAATAAGTTTAGTCTTTCGGTCCAAGGATCAGCAGATAGGAAAAAAATGCTATTGGGCTAAATGATAGAATGGCTCAGACATTGATACTTAAAATGGCCAAGGAATCTGCTTTAATTTTAAACTGGTGATCTACATTATTAAATTTAGCTCAATGAAATAAGCATGAATCATAAAAAAATAAAAATGCTATTTAAGAATTTTTTTTGTTACATTCTGTTATTCTTTGTTATATATTCCTTTTTATAAATTAGCTTGTTGCATTTACATTTACAATTCTAGTATATAGTAAGTGTACCACAGTTGTAAATATTTTATTATAAGGGGTCTGATATTAATATTCATTCTTTCATATTTTGTAAATTGTAAATGTATCATATTAGTCACTTATAAATAAATATCAAACTAAATTTAGTGTCTGTTCTTTGTTTATGTCCTTATCTGACTTAAGGAATTAATGTGAACTTTGCTATCATTATGGGGAAATAAACACTGCTTTCAGGGGTTAATATTTAAACATACAGTCAACTAGCAAGGGTGTAGAATTCCACCAAGACGTTTATGATTTTTGAGGGGGGATAATATGGCATATATTTTATTGCAAGATAATATTTTATTCTCACTGATCGCCAAGTATAGAGTACTATCTTGTTTATTGTAGACAGGAGTAGATAACCATTTCATGAGTTTTCCAAGCTTTCAACTAAATGGGCTCTATGTAATATTAATATCTTTTTTACTTTATCAATTTATTGACTTTCAAGTTTTATTTTACATATTACTCACTATACAAAACAATAAATGTGTATCTTTTAGAGTTATTTTTCTGGTATATATTTTAAAAAGAATAATTTTTGAGATCCATCACTCATACATTCAATTTAATCTATTTCATTATCTCAAACTCAATTCTCTTTTCAAAACAGACATTCCTATATTGTAACAATGATTCAATTTTCAAACTGTAGGTTGTTTTCAAGCTGACTCTACAACCCATATATGAACTCTTTTATCTCCACCTACAGCAATAATAGGAAGGTTCAGATGCCAGGTTAGTCCATAAGCTACTGGTAGTGATGTATTTATATGGAGCTGAAATTGAAAAAGGTTTACACTTATACGAAATGTTATATCATTTAATTGAAAAACTTTTTTTCATTGTACATCAAATTCAATTGTATAAGATAATATGTTATAAAGATAATTATTACCTGTTGATGTCTGGTGTTAAAAACTTTTATTTGTCTACCAGGTCGTCCAATTGTAGCTAATAAACTTTCATGACATCTTGACCAGCGAAATATTTTTCCTCCATCAATGTGAGCTTGACGTTTTTCTATAGGTTGACTACAAGATAATAATATTATTTAAAAATATTCAACTTATTGTTTAAATTTTTCACAAGCTCAGAATACAGAATACTTTGTTGAACCATGTTTTTATAAAAGGGATACAAATATTCAATGCTTATATTATATACATATATAAACAATGATAAAATATTGTCCAAAACAAGAGCTTTGTGAGAAAGTGTTCATTATTACCAAAAAAATTGTATGTAGAAGCGTGTTAGTTTTCTGGTTTGAAAATCATGTTACAGGAAGAATATTTATTACATCAGTTCCTAATCTTAGCTTTACCTATTAGCATGAACCAGGATTGAAATATGTTAATGTTTGGTGTGAAAATGGCAGTATATTGATACTGTTTTAATATTAATAAATGTTGTTGTCACCTGGATAAAGAGGTATCAAACATCATCCAGTCACTACCTGCAATAGCACCAACTAATAAACAATTATGTCTGGACCAATCAGTAGACATTAATGGTGTTTGACCACAATTTAAACTCATTATAGGTTGTTGATTATGTAAACTAAAAATTCTGATGACTCCATTCTTCTGACCAACTAAAATCTAAAAACACCAAATTTTCATAACAAAATACTTCAATGACATTATTAATTCATGGAAAATTTGGATCTGTAAACTTTAACATAAGATTTTTCATGAATGAGAATCACTTATTGCGCAAGAAAAGTATCAAAATAGCATGAAATATGCATTGTGTTGGCTAAACGAAAGACCATTAAGCTACTTTATTTGCAAGAATAATTCTTGTAGTAGTTGAATATGTAAAGTATTGAAGTAACTACAAGTTGTTCTGGCATCTATTTTTTATATCTCACATGTAAAAGTCGAAAAAATTTGACCACCATGTTAAAATTATATTTCAATTGAATAACATTCAATGTATACCTTCATATCTTCTTCATTATGCCAACAAACTGACATACCAGGTGATGTTAATTGAAATAATGTCAACATATCCCCATCTTTATTCCAAATACGACATGTTAAATCATCACCAGTACTCGCTATTTGTTCTCCTTGGTTTGGTTCAAATGTTACTGAATTCACATAAGATGAATGGCCTTCAAATGCCTATGAAGAAACAAAATGAAGACTAAAAAGGACTATAGCTCATCCTATGCTGTCTATAATGTATAAGCCAGGGAAACAAAGTACATGAGTGGAGTTGCTAAATAGATTTTTAAGGTATATGTGGACAGAACAGTTTTTTTTGAAAAAAATCGGACAAAAACTTTAAAAAATTAAATGAAACTTACTAAAACTGTATCATCATCTTTTAAATCAGACTGTAGTAATCTTAATTTATAATCAACCCCAGCGGCAATAAAACTACAAATACAAGCACATTCATATTCATTCACTGTCAAACATACAGGCACCAGATTCTATAAGAGTTATGGTTTTCTTTTTTACCAGAATCTGGTGTCTGTGGTCAAACACAATCATTGACACAATTATTATCTCTGTCAAACACCTTTTGCTATTGTTCTTAACCTCTAGTTCTAAAACTTATGGAAGGTGAAGTGATTCTTTTTAATTCTGTGAAAAGTAAGTGGAACTAAGATTGAGAATCAAGGCAGGCAGACAAGACTACCAAATACAGATATAGATGTCTTTAAGGACTATTCTTTGTTAATATAAGTTTTTGAACATACCACATTACTTTAGGAAGAGTACTGAGAGAGGTTCCTGGACTCCAGGCTATGGCAGATGATTTACAATCTAGTTTAAATTCTCTAATGTGATTATATTCAAACCCATTCACTTCATTATCTTCTTCCTATAACATAAAATATATAAGCTTAGCTTTATAGGTTACAGGTAGGCCAATAAATTCATTCTGTTTCGATCAGATTATAACATTTGAGATAGATTACATTGTCAACTTATATGTCCTGGTACATGGACATATGCAAACATCATAAGCCATAGTTGTGCTTGTGAATTTGTGAACATTAAGTACTGTATATGCCAAGAATATTTAGTAGCCTATATTTAACATAAAAAGCTTGAGAAGGGCCTAAACTGTGGGACATCTCTTCAACTTTTCCTAAATTATTACATATTTCTACTGTCTATATTTAACTAATGTAGGTAAATCTTGTATAAGGAACTGATGAGTGATGTTAAGTATGTCCATATTTCATGTGATTACCAGCCAATCAACAAGTTTTTTCAGACCGTTTGTTTTGTAATATGGACACATGAAATAGGCTTATACAAAACCATTGAATATCATATGCTTGATGCTCATTATTTAGCATCTCTATGAGACCACGACTCAGTTGTTGGTCTTTTATTGTTTTTTCAGACTAACCTGAAATCTGCAAGAGAAAATTGCAACTCTGCTACCGGTTGCAACGGCAAGCAGTTTTGATGACCATTCAAACGGAGAAAATTCAACACACTGCACTACATCTGATCTTGGAATGTTGTATTGTCTGTAATTTGAATCATCTGTCATTTTAAGATTTTTAAGATTTGTTTACAAACAAGACACGCGCCTTTCTGTTTACAACTTTTCTACTCATTTATTTTGAAGAGCTCTGAAAATGTCGTGGACAAATCGACCCAAGTAAAAATATTTTCATCAAATGTATTTATATCATCGAGTACGGTATAAATACTTTATGTTTAGCCATAGGTGAATAAATGTTTTTCTTACGGGGTGTAGTTGATATTTAATGTTCTCAACAGGTTCGCTTTTGTGTGTCATTTTGACTGTAGGGCGACCTGACTAGCTACATAGGTGGCACTGCTTAGGTCGAACTCGCTTTCAAAAATTATCATACTGATTTCATATCACGACTAATCACTTTGTTCCATGGAAAATAAATGTATATAATAATTTTGAATTAGGTTAAATACGCAAATGTAAGAAAAAAAAATTTCTGGAGATCAATCTTTTATTTTTTCCGTGAAAAATATCTGTTAGGATCTCAGAGTCGCAACAATAACTACTTACAAACAAGTCCTACAGTCCTACACAAATTTCCAATTTGCAAACAGTGCTCGACTTGAAAATGGCGACGATCGGATCCTTGATAGTAGAAGATCAGCGTGAACCAGAGAAACCCATAGACAGAGAAAAGGTATTATAATTAAGTTCTTTACATTTATAGTAATTTGCTATAATATCAATTGGCATGGGTTAATTGATGAAAATCCCACTCCCCCAGCCGTTGCTAGTCCTCAGATTTCTTACCCTGGCCAGAGAACCTTTCACTTTCGAAATTCGAAACAGTTTTACCTCACATTTAGAAAGCCATACATACACTTACTACTTATAAGATGTCTTAGATTTTTTACCTCATCTATTCTAGAATTAAGTTGTAAGAAATCAGAATTCATGTCAGCTAAACTAATATATTTTTTTATATTTCAGACATGTCCATTACTCTTAAGGGTATTTTGTAGTTTAGGACGTCACCATCAGACTATGGAATTTGCACGAGCCAACACACCAGCAAATGAGTTGCAGATTTATACATGGTAGGTCCTGCATATGAATCTCAGATAATATTGTCATAACTAAATAGTGAATAGTCTGAATATTTCATTTTGCATCTTCTTTTGATGAATGATGAATCATGAAAATCAGACGATGTCACAGTTAAATACACCAGAATATGATTAGTATATTTTTCTGTGGTTGAGCAGATGTAAGTAGGCTTTTATAATATATGTACGCTTTGGCCACCGTAAAAAAAAAGTTCTTTCTTTTTCTCAAATTCTCAAGTTGTCTTTCAGGATGGATGCTACATTAAAGGAATTGACTAGTCTAGTGAAAGAAGTTAATCCAGATGCCAGGAAGAAAGGGACATTTTTTGATTTTGCGATTGTTTATCCTGATCCAAGAACTCCAACATACAGATTACGAGAAATTGGTACAACTTGTTGTGGTAAAAAATCAACTGATGATAATGTAACTTTAGCCAGTAAAAAATTTCAAATTGGCGATTATTTAGACATTTCAATTTCTCCACCAAGGGGTGGACCATCACCCATGATGAGGTCTCGACGACCGTACTAAAGAGGGTTTAGGATGTAATTCAATGTTTTATAATGGACAGTGAAATTTCAAATATTTTTTTTAAAATAAAATTTAAAGTATGACACACACAACTGTTACAAGGCAAATTTCCTTGAAATGCAATAGCAAAAGAAAAAATGTGTCAGAGATCAAGCTCATTTGATCAGGTAATTGGAACTTTGTGGACATACGAGATGTAAAAAAAAAAAAAACATTAGTTATTTCCAGTTGTGTAGGTCAAATGATAGTCACTATGCAAAACAATCTGTTGTCTGCGTCTTGCTCTATGAAAGACTATAACATGCCCTATAAGCTGTCAGAATGTAAATTAGCCTTAACATACCATTAAACATTTTTCATGAATGAAAGAATCATCAAAACGCATATACCTGAAAGAATTTATATTCATTCTTCAATATTAGCTATCATCATTCTGTTTTAAATTCTTTAATATGTGTAACAGACACTGTTTTTTTTAAGCAGATGCTGTTTTTTTTTTTAAATAAAATGATGAGAAAGATGATTGTCATTTATTTTGGTCTATACAGACAACATACATGCTTACCGCCCAAGTTGATTTTCTAATCCGTCTTCGTTGGAACCTGTTTCGAATGAAAAAATGTCGGCCCGAAAGTCGTATGCAACCAGAGGTTTATATATTTATTTCCTTAGTTCTAAGACTGACAGTAATGTCTTGCCATGTCATATACCAGTTCTGTCGTAAATGTCACAAGGTCAGTGAATTGTGATTATAAGGATGGATTGCGGCTATTGTCTTTCAATGAAGCGATTCATTGTTATTTTACGACTTTATCAGTAATTTTTATAGCAACAACGTGTGCGTTTTCATGCAGATGTTTAAATTTTTAAGATTTCCACCCGAGTCCATTTTCAAGTCAATCCACTGTTTGAGTGGAAAATGTTAGCTGGAATCACTTTTCATTGTTAATCTTTCTTCACATGCATGGATTGGTATAGTTTCCTATTAATTTGCATCCCTGACAGAGGAACACCGGTACTGGAAACGAACTCTGAAAATTGAAACAGTGTGAATATAGTCAACTCTTCTGTTATCCTCTCACTCCCAGTAAGACGTGTTTGAATTGCCTCCCTTAAATAAATATATTACTGCGGTCCGACAACATTGGTTTCAAAATAACACAAATTGAAATATCAACTTAATTATAAAACTGTGAGAATTGTTTTCTGAGATGAGAAAATAGAAAGTTTTCAATCGGAAATGCTGATTAATTTTTATCAAACACCATTTTCCTATATTCTGTGACAAATATATCTTTTTTTGAATATTTGAAAATTCCAGAGAAATATGTAGATTATGTATCTTGCCAAATAATTCTTTCTTATTTGGCTAATGAGGAAAAGCAAAGCCTTTATGCTATACGGCATCGGTATAATATTTCGATTTAAAACCACTTTGTTTTGTTCTCCTTCAAAGCACTCTATTTAAAATACTAAACTAAAAATTTGGCTGTTAAGTAGAAAGAATGAAATGTTTATAAAGATACTGAAGGTCCAACATTTTGGCTGTAAATAAATCTACTTCAAGACTACATTTATTCAAATTTTGCACTTAAGGCACTTTACATCATCTTCTTTGAAATATAATCCTATTTGGGATACACCTTTAAACAGATTTTTGTATACTTCATAACATTATATTTCTAACCATGTAAAATCTTATCTTCTCTTGTTACACAAATAACAAGTATGATGATACAATTAGACCTGAGAGATTTGGTTGCAAACTGAATCACAACACAGCAACCATTGTTATCTCTGAAAAATAAAAACATTGGTTAGATCAACTTTCATGTTAAACGATACCCAGTTCGCCAAACAATACAATTGTCCTTAAAAAATTCTCCCCTTCAAGCTTTGTGCAGAATATCAAGTAGGTGAAATATTATAAGAAAAGGTATTAATTATTTAAAGTGTAAAATTTGTCGATATCATGTTGTCACCATGCATATAGATGCAATATGGTGCTAGTTGGTACTCTCTAATGCTATTCTGGGTGTAAAATATTATCTTATAAAAGATTCAGCTATTTGATCCGTCAAAAAACTTTGTATATTCTATCACAGATATCACCTTTCAACCCTCTAGTTTGGCATGTTTGTTTTTAGGGAAGGTTTACCAAAATGGCCAGAAATTCTATATTTTTATTTTGTTTAAAAAGTTGACAAAAAGATTTGAATTTCATTTATGTAAGAATCTAAGGTTTCATTTGTCTGTTTGGCATATTTTGTATGGTGCAAGCTGTGGAGTCTAAAATTGCCAGGTAATTTAATCCCCGCGGGAAGCCTCAAGACTGATAAGACAGTAGGTAAAATAATATTCTCTACGTGCAATCGTGAATGCAAATAATAGAGGAAGCCAAGAAAATCTGCCCACGGCTGCGGTGTTAATTTACCATCACATATCAAATGAACGTTATCCAATAGATATAAGGTCACTGCTATTAATATCTTAGGGAGGTATGAAAGATTAAGTCAAAACTACAATATATTTATGTATATATTGAAATATGATATAACCTAAATCTAGAACAGAATATCTCTATTTCATTTTATTCTTTACCTTCTCAATCTGATTACCTTTTTATTTTGGCACTTACAAATTGATCTTGATTTTCAAACCCGAATATTTATTTATCTTTTTATGAACTATCTGTACTAGATATTACCCCTATAATACACTTCTAAACACACCTAAAAAGAAAAATATACAAATTGCGAAATAATCGAATACAGTATAAAAATGGAAACTGTCTGTCTTATCTTGAATCTTTTGTCTTTGGTCCAACTGATCCGTTAATCTCAGTCTCTAGAACCAACTCTACCATTATCTATAATCTGTCTCTATAACCAACTCTACCATTATCTATGATCTCAGCCTCTATAATCAACTCTACCATTATCTATAATCTCTGTCTCTATAACCAACTCTACCATTATCTATAATCTCTGTCTCTTTAACCAACTCTATATTATCTATAACCTCTGTCTCTATAACCAACTCTATATTATCTATAATCTCAGTCTCTATAACCAACTCTACCATTTTCTATAATCTCAGTCTCTATAACCAACTCTATCATTATCTATAATCTCAGTCTCTATAACCAACTCTACCATTATCTATAATCTCAGTCTCTATAATCAACTCTATCATTATCTATAATCTCTGCCTCTATAACCAACTCTACCATTATCTATAATCTCTGTCTCTATAACCAACTCTACCATTATCTATAATCTCTGTCTCTATAACCAACTCTATATTATCTATAATCTCAGTCTCTATAACCAACTCTACCATTATCTATAATCTCAGTCTCTATAATCAACTCTACCATTATCTATAATCTCAGTCTCTATAACCAACTCTACCATTATCTATAATCTCAGTCTCTATAACCAATTCTATCATTATCTATAATCTCAGTCTCCATAACCAACTCTACCATTATCTATAATCTCAGTCTCTATAATCAACTCTACCATTATCTATAATCTCTGTCTCCATAATCAACTCTACCATTATCTATAATCTCTGTCTCTATAACCAACTCTACCATTATCTATAATCTTAGTCTCTATAACCAACTCTACCATTATCTATAATCTCAGTTTCTGTAACCAACTCTACTATTATCTATAATCTCAGTCTCTATAACCAACTCTACCATTATCTATAATCTCAGTTTCTGCAACCAACTCTACCATTATCTATAATCTCTATCTCTATAACCAACTGTACCATTATCTATAATCTGTCTCTATAACCAACTCTACCATTATCTATGATCTCAGTCTCTATAATCAACTCTACCATTATCTATAATCTCTGTCTCTATAACCAACTCTATATTATCTATAATCACTGTCTCTATAACCAACTTTACCATTATCTATAATCTCAATCTCTGTAACCAACTCTACTATTATCTATAATCTCAGTCTCTGTAACCAACTCTACTATTATCTATAATCTGTCTCTATAACCAACTCTACCATTATCTATAATCTGTCTCTATAACCAACTCTATATTATCTATAATCTCAGTCTCTATAACCTACTTTACCACATTCTATATTATCTTTTTCTATAACCTACTCTACCACATTCTATAATATCTTTTTCTATAACCTACTCTACCGCATTCTATAATATCTGTTTCTATAACCTACTCTACCGCATTCTATAATATCTGTTTCTATAACCTACTTTACTATATTCTACAATATCGGTCTCTATAACCTACTCTGCCACATTCTATAACATCTGTTTCTATAACCTACTCTGCCACATTCTATAATCTCTGTCTCTAAAACCCACTCTACCACATTGTATAACATATGTCTATATAACCTACTCCACCATTATCTATAATCTTAGTCTCTATTACCTACTCTACTACATTCTATAATATCTGTCTCTATAACCTACTTTACTACATTCTACAATATCGGTCTCTATAACCTATTCTACCACATTCTATAATATATGTCTGTATAACCTACTCCATCATTATCTATTAAAATTAGTCTCTATAGCCTTTCTCTACCACATTCTACAATATCTGCCTCTATAACTCACTCTACTATTATCTATATCTGTCTTTATAACGCACTTCACCAGTATCTATAATCTCAGTCTCTATAACATAATCTACCACATTCTATAATATTCTATAATATATTTCTCTATAACCTAATCTACCACATTCTATAATATATGTCTCTATAACCAACACTACTATCTATAATATATGTCTGCAGAACCTACACTCTTTGTCTCTATAACCTAATCTACCACATTCTATAATATCTATCTCTATAAGAAACACTGCCACCATGTATAATTTCTATCTGTAGAACCTACTCTACCACATTCTTTGTCTCTATAACCTACTCTACCACATTCTATAATATCTGTCTCTATAACAAACACTACCACCATCTATAATTTCTGTCTGTAGAACCTATTCTACTACAATCTTTGTCACTATAACCTAATCTACCACATTCTATAATATATGTCTCTATAGCCTACCCCATCATTATCTATAATCTCAGTCTATATAACATACTCTACCACATTCTATAATATCTGTCTCTATAACCAACTCTACCACCATCTATAATTTCTGTCTGTAGAACCTACTTTGCGACAACCTTTGACTCTATAACATAATCTACCACATTCTATAATCTCTATCTCTGTAACCTACTTTACGACATTCTGTAATATCTGTCTATAGAACCTACTCTACCACAATCCGAGCTCTATAACCTAATCTACCACCTTCTATAATCTGTCTTTTTGGCACACTCTGGAGTCATTCATGATTTCGCTTCAATGAAGCGTATGCTACATGATTGCATGAATGTATGCATATGCGAAAAGTGAGTCAATATGGTGCGCTACTACAGAGTACAGATGGCAATATATGTATTTATAATAGTAGGTATGAATCGATGACTTTTGCCACAAAA